AGCACCAAGACCTCCTCTAGTTTTGGGTTGACCAAGACAGGTGGTATGCTCAGGTAAGCCATTAGAGATCGAAAATGCTCCTCAAACTGATAATTCCATTGGAAAACTGTCTTCAACACCTTGGATGGAATATTTGGCCGTTAGAGGTTCTCTTCCCTAGGTATAATGTGTCATTCTAGAAGTTGGTGACGTGACATTCTATAGATGGATTCTTCTTGTCCATGGTAAGATTTGATGATGAAATTACTCTTTTATCCCTTTTTCGATGTAAATTGAACTACCCTACCTCTAATCTATTTTGATAACTATTGAGCTGGCTCATGCCTTAATTGACTTGGATCTTAATACATCAGGTTAGCCATACCAAGATTAGGTCAGCTAGTCCATTCATTGTACTATAGGCTTGTTTAACATATAAATTTATTCTTGGCATCATCAATTGGAGCATAGTCAAATTGTATTCTCCATATCCAAAAGAAAGTGAAGGTATATTGGATCTAACATCTAAAATCAAATCTAATATGTAAAAAAATTAAATACACAATCGAGAAAGCTCTTACAGAGGTTGCCCATTTTGAAAGTTACCATTGGGAGATCGACTCAACTCCAAAGCGAACAGGGAAAGCTTAGAGCATTGAAAATCCTTGTAATTAGCTCTACCCTTCCTAGTTGTCTCATAAAGAGTTGCCAGAGAATAAGGTTATCTACTATTTGAAAATCAAAAGGCCTCTTGGTCTGAGTCAACGACTCATGTTTGAAGGGAAAAAAGGGTTGAGACCATAGTTATCTAGAACCAAACTAGACATCAAACCGGCAGAGAGACCAGATCAATAGTTCAATAGTTCAACCATTAGGTCAATTGGTTGGATCGGTCTTATAATAAAAAATAAAAAAAATAAAAAATTATAAAACATAATAATTTTGACTAAACTAATATGAAACATGTCCACAATGTATACAATTTTTCATAAAATTGACATGGTAAGCACATAATCCTATCAAACAAAAATAAAAGTAAAGTAACAAGGGGTGGGCTAGATTCAAAGGCTTTGTCTTTTTTGCCTTCTCAAGGCAATGGTCTTTATTGTATTATTTTTTTGCTTTGGGTACTATACTATTTTTTGGAAATTCAAATCAATGACAACAAAAAAAAATACATAAGCTTACTATGTGTTGTGTTTAATAGATGTAGAGTGTGTATATTGTGTGTGTATGTGATTAACCCTAATTAAGGCATAATTTAATTTAGTTAATAGGTAAATTGTATTAGTTAAATAAAGTTAAACGAGTCAAAATAAATCAACTTAGGGTTAGTGTGTGAATTAAGGATAATGTATTGATTGTTGTTCTTTTCAGGATTTTGTGTGTCAAAACTACAAACTACTAGGGAACTAATTATTAAAGCTGCAAATTATACGGTGCCAATTGTCAAAGCTGCAAACTATACGGTGCCAGTTATCAAAGTTCAGAACAAAGGGGGAGCAAAGTGTAATTCATAGCCGTCAAACAAGTCTATCATCCTCCCTTGTTGCCTATAAATACTACCCCTTAGGACTTGTAAAATATTCATCTTTTGGTAGTGAAAAACCCTCCAAAAGTATTATTGCTCTCTTGCTCATTGCTTTCTTTAAGTATTGCTTTCTTTTATTGTATTACTAGTCATAACCCGTGCCTGAAGGCACGACAAAATATAAAATTCGAGCGTCCAAAAAATCGTTCCCACTATACTAAATTTTTTTAAAATATATTAACTACAAATTAATTAAATATTAAATAATTAAATATATAATAGAAATGAGTAATGTGATATCTTTAGGGATGAAATATATAAATGATTAAATATGTGATAGAAATGAATGATGCGATTTGACGTTTGAGTCTGACAAATGAATGATGGGTGAGGTAAATGATTGGTGATGGTTTTGAAGGAAAAAATATGACTGGGATAAAATTCAAACACACTCCTGTTTTATTATATAGATTACTTTATTTTAATGTATTGTTTCCTTTACTTTAAGTATTGCTTTCATTTATTATATTATTGCTTTCTTTTACTTCCATTGTTGAGCTTTCTTTTTCCCTTAGAGGAGTGAAATTCTTCCACTTTTCTAAAGCTTACCAAAGTCGTGAAGGGTGGAACGTGATTCACTCATTCTTTATCAAAGATCGGCTCCTTGTGTAAAGTGTTTTACCTTGTAACTCATGTACTTGGAGGGATGAACATCACTCACTTTTCTAGTTTTACCACAGCCATGAAAAGTGAGTAATTTCTCATCCAATCTTTAGTAAGAGGTAAAAGAAATGTATAATTATTTGAAAGTTATATTTGTGTATTTTGTTTATATTTAGCTTCAATTTTCATTTCTTTATAATGTCTTCTCATTACATTGTTGTCTTTACTTTAAGCATGAGTAGCTAAGTCTTTAAGTTGGCTAATCCAAGGGAGACCTCCTCTTGGGTATACCATTTCAACCCATTTTATTTCCTCCCCTCGGTGTACGATGGTTCGGTTTCACTAGGATGAGTGAGGACATGGTGTGAGTCTTTGATATCCCGTAGACTTGTCACGGGTTATGCTNTTTATTTCCTCCCCTCGGTGTATGATGGTTCGGTTTCACTAGGATGAGTGAGGACATGGTGTGAGTCTTTGATATCCCGTAGACTTGTCACGGGTTATGCTTGGATCCTCGCTTCCCACGAATCAATCGTTCATCTATGTACCAGTGGAGGAAGGTTTCGGGTTGACTTGACATTTTCATTGGAGTGAACCCTTCGGATTAGCCAACACTTGTTTCCCATTTCAAATTCATCACAAACCAACTTCAAACTATAAGAGATTTTGCACTTTCTTTGCACCAAAATCACTTTCAAAACGATTCACATCCTTTCCTGAGGAGACGACCTTGGAATATTTTTCCAAGTAAAACACGACACTTAAAAGACTCCTTGCGCTTGGGGAACACTTTTATTCACACGCACACACATTCTGTACATTTTATATTCCACCATTCCTTTGCCCTTTCTTTTGACATCGTCCCAAGGGGGAATGACACTCTCCCTCATACACACCATACATACGTTGAGGGAGATGTTAAGAGGTAGGAACAACACGAAAATAATTCAAGCAATATGTAAGGGAGAGAGAAAAAATAGATGAGAATAGTTATAAAGGCAATCAACTAGGTTATGAAGGCGATCAACTAAGCTGAGATAGAAGTTCGTCAGTTATCTGTTCAAATGGCTGTTAAGGAGATCGATTGAGGTGAGAATGAAGGAGAAGGGAAGGAAGGTGAGCCTGGCTGGTGGAGATTGGAGAAGAAGATGAGATTTAGTGAAAAATTGCCCTAAATAATGATTTTTTGACTTTTTATAGCATTTAAAATTTGGACTGCTCAATTTTACAAAATTATATGATTTATAACAACAAAATTTCGTGTATATATTCACAAAAAGTAAGGTCAAATTACAATTGCCAATTTGATTGAATTTAAATAAAAGATGCGGTGTTGACTCTCTTTAGTGTGCTTCTCATGTATATTATCCTCTGATTCTCGGTAGATTTGATGAGACAAGGACTGGACCGACATGTTTCTTGATCTTTCATTCGTTTGATCTGGTAAAGACAAGGGTTAGACCATCATATTCATCAATCTTCGTTTTGGTGATGTTTTGATAGATTTGTTGAAGACAAGAGTCGAACTAATGTGACTCTCATTCTTCGATCTTTGATTTGGAGGATTTGTTGAAGACCATGGTCAAATTGAAGTGAATCTTATGCATCGATTTTCAACTTAATTTTGTTGAATATTCCCACCGTTCTTTATATTGAACAGTTTGAAGTAATTTGAATCTCTTGAAGAAGGACCTTGACAATTCTTCTTCTCTTTCTAGTTAGATTTGCAAGACCTCAGTTGGGGGTAGACTTTAGCAAAACTTTACTGCTAATTTTCCCTTTTTCTCCTGAGATGGGCTCAAGCAGAGCTTTCTTGATCTTCCCTCCTCCTTGGCTTCTCTTGCCCTTCTTTCTAGGCCTCCTCTTTTGGCTTCTCTTTCTTTATTTCCTCCAGATCTCTATATATAGTATTGGGAGTAGTTATCCATACAAGGAAATTTTACCCAAATACCCTTGCATGAGCCTTAGGTAGTGGGTCACCCATATTAATTTAAAATTATGAGCTTTAGTTGATTTGTGAAATTTAAGTCCAACCCACTTTACCTTTTAAAAGTTTGTTTAATTTGGGTTTATGGAATTTAAGTCCATTTTAATTTAGTTTAACAAGACTGGTTAATTATATTTGGACTGTGGAATTTAAATCCAACTCAAGTCTATTTGATTTTTCTTATTTTGGATTATGAAATTTATATCCAACCGAATTGAATTTATGTAATTATTTTGGGTTCAATTATAGACATTAATTTGTTAATTTTTTAATGTCTACAAATACCCTCTCGAGACTTGTTTGCACATTTAATATTTTATTAATACGTAAATGGGTTTGAATTTATATTTAGATTTAAAAGGAGTTTAATTATATATATATATATATATATATATATTAATTTACTATAGTTCATTTTGAACTCTAAATAAGATATATAATTCAATTTAATTATTATTTTCTAGTCCTTTAGTAATATGGAGTTCTAATTCATCTTAGAGTCGATAATAATTCTTCTGTTCTACATAAACAAATGGACCTAAAATTTAGACTTTCAGTTCATGTATACTTTGGTTTGTGGTATTAGTCTAAGAGAATGGAATGAGTATTACAGCATTCCTTTGTTTGGCATGTTTTCATTCCCTTTCATTCTAAAGGAATAAAATATGGGATTACCCATTACCAATTTAAACATGGTATTTCCTATTCCCAATGACTCAGTAATGAGGCCAAATTATAAGCACGAAACCCGACTCCTCCCGATCCCAGTCTTGTGGACTTGCACCTCCCTCCCCAAATCTCTCCTCCCCTCCACTCCTCTGCTCAACTCTCAGCTCTTCTCTACCGGGCCCCATGCCATTCCACCCTTTCTTGCACTCGGCAACACCGGCGGCAACCGGGGTGTTTACGCGACGACAAATCAGCTGTCTTACGCCGCCGAGGCCCACTGAACGACTCAACAGAATCAGTCAAACTACTAAGAGTGGTCCTCTGGGCGATAATCTGGTGCTCCTGAGTATACAACCGCTGATTGACAAAGCGATCGTTAGGGTTCTGATGAAATGGATAGTAAGGGTTTGAAGGAGTGGTTAATGGAAAGTTGATCTTGGCCTTGGGTCCCCAAAGCGAAAGAGCAGCGGCGTCGAAGGCTCGACCTGCATCTTCAGCTGAATCGAAAGTCCCCAGCCAAACCCTAGATTTTTGCCTTGGGTCTCTGATCTCTGCAGCGAATCTTCCCCAAGGTCTCTGACATTTTTAATATAGGTATTTGGTAATGCATTTTCAATAACAAAGTGCTTTACTACATGACTGCTAGGATAAATCCAATTCCACTTAACAATTGTCTCAACAAAGCTAATTCTTTGTTTACTCATCTTTTGATGTGTCTACACAGTAATTAAATTATGCCCATATGGTCCATAGGGCATATAAAGCATTCTTCAAGTTAAGGGCGAAGGATTGCTTTATTTTCATATTGATAAAAAGGATGTGGTTTGGGATCAGTCAATTGTGTATGTGGTGGGTGACCACTTGATCGTTTTGGACATGGCTTCCAATGGGACCAAAAGTACCACACCTTCCACAGGAGAAAGAGGAGGCTGCAGCTGCTTGATTCTAGGTTGATCAATACATTGGTTCAAATTCTGGTTGCTTTGATGTGGCATCGGATCTTTTGAGAGCAGTGATCTTTTGAGACATGCAGAGCTTGGTTCAAGCTCATTTTCTTCATTGGTTGATCGGCTATGCATCAGTCAACCATTAGGTCAGTGTCTGTCCTTATTTGCCTAGTTTAACTTACATTCTCAAATATGATTCTGTGTTAACATGCTACCTTAAAAATTAACTATCTACCTTGTGAAATAACAATCATGTACCGGCATAAAATTATGAGATTTACCATAGATATGAGACTTGTGTAATGGGTGCTTGCAAAAAGAATATCCAAATTTGTTTATTTACAAGGTCACTGCATGTGCACAACTTGTGAATCAACATGGTATACTGGAGGTTTTTGATGATAAGGGATGATGAAGGTAGTTTTGTTGTTGACTGGGTCTAGATAGACTGCAGTGCTGGAAGTGTTTTATGAGGCTGCTGTGTGCCTATGTTGCTGAATTGCTTTGTTGTGCTGTGACTGGTTTTAAGGGGGAGAAAGGTTGCTGCCATGGGTGAAATGAAGGTGCTTTTGGAGCATTTTGAAGGATTAAAGCCTTTTAGCAGTATTGAATGTGTTAAGAATTCTTGTAATTCTTTGATTCTTGTAATTTCTTGATTCAATTAATAAAATATTTAAAAAAATAATAATAATAATTTTTTATTTAATTTTTTTTTGTCAACCTATTTTTGAAGGAATTTTTTTCTAATTTTTTAAAATTTATAGTGGTTTAAGTTTTTTCAATGGATTCTCATTTTTTTCTAATTATAAATTTTTTAACACAACTTTTAAAGGCAATCGTAATCATAAAAAAAAAAATTTTATTAATTATACTGTGGATATTTTGGTTAAAGTTGATTCTATTCCAATGAAAAATTGTTTTATCCAAACATAAGAATGGAATCAACATTCAATTTCGGCCCTTAGTTCTAAACAGCTGCCAAATATTAGAATGGTAATGCGCATTCTATTTCATTCCCAAGTTTATTCTATTCCTACCGAAAAGTATTACCGCGTATCAAACGCAGCATTAAAGTAATTAAAACTATTTTTTATTTTAAATACACAAACTTAGAATTTTCACATATGGCTCTGACTTTATAAACTCTAAATCTATCTAAAATTTAAAATAGCGTTAATTGTATTAGAGATTCTTAAAGTATAGAGTTTGTCTCATTTTGGTCTCTAATATTTTAATTGCATCATTTTGATTCATGAAGTATTAAATATTTTTCTATATAACCATTCAAGAAAAAAATGTTTAAATTACTAATAATTTTTTATTATAAACATGTCACATAATAACTAAATATGGACAAAACATAATTTTGATAGCTCTTAAACAAATTTTGGATAACTCTTGACAAAAAATTTATAATATGGGTAATTTTTGACCAAAATTTAGATAACTCATGATCAAAACTGTGTAATTTAGGTAGATATTTAACCAAAATTTGAGTAAAAATTTAGTCAAGAGTTATCTAAATTATTTTTTTGTCCATATTTAAGTATTATGTGATAAGTTATGATAAAAAAATCATTAACAAAGTGGTCATGTCTGCTCAAGAGACCATATAATAACATATTCAACACTTCAAGGACCAAAATGATACAATTAAAACATTAGATACTAAAATAAGATAAACTCTATACTTTAGAGACATCTAGTGCAATTAACTCTTCAAAATAAGAAACATTTTTTTACTTAAATTCATAAACTTAGTGTCAACATATTTGAGAATGTTGGTATTATCAATTGCTTGGTAACGCCAAAGAAGTTTGGTGCTAACGTTTTGAAGTCTATCAGGTGTGATTAATTTTTTTTTATTCGTTATAATTATTGTTATTGTCTCTAATTGTACCGCCGTTTGGCACTTCGGCTTAGAAGTCAATTTGGTTTGTACTTATGCTTTCAATTCTTTTCCTTGTTTTTTGTTTATTCACGCTTTTTTTTTTAAACATGACTTTTCTTGTTAGTTTATGCTCTTGTCTACTGGGTATAAATAAATTTTCAGGTAAGATTTTTTATTTTTGTGTTTTGCCTACTGGTATCTAGCCATTTTAGCTATTTTTCAGTTACTTTGTTACCACTAAATTGAATCAGTCAGTAGATTGATGAGTAACTCCTGCCCCTTTATTATTATTATTTAATTTTTTTTGCCTTATTATGGTTATTCTTTCTCTTTGAATCGAAAGAATTTAATTCCAATAATACTATCTTCTAATATCATTTTTGCCCCCATTTTTTTTACAAGTTCTTTTTTCTAATACTTTTATCAAATTAAAAGGTATATGTGTTGTCTTTTCACCATAAAAGTTATTTTATATAATTTTTCACGATTTTCTCTCTTTTCATCTTATTCTAGGTTATGGTGTAAAGTCAATGTTTATTCCTCACCTTTTTTGTCAACAGGTGACAGGAGACCCCTTTTTTTCTTGATGCTATCACGATAATTCTTTACATCTTTTTTTTTTTTTCCGTATTTGCTTATTAAAGTATTCTGGATTTTTTTTTCCAATGCATCAAGACTATTTTTATTTTTTATTTTTTTTTTAAATCTCATATTGACCAATCGTTATCCTAGTAAGTAGCTTAGAACTCTTCTAGTTTGTCCCTTTATACAAGTAACCACCAGATCCACAGTGAACAAATAGTATTATCACGAGTTTTCATTATTAATATTATTATTTGTTTTTCTTTAGTTATTTTGCTTACAATTTGACTCTTTTTATTATGTGTTAGTCTTGACTATGATGTTGTCTTCTTTTTTTTCTTTATTATTATAATTTTTTTAAGAATTTGAATTTGGATAATTTTTCATAAGAATTTGATTTCAGGTAAAAACAAATTTCTAGGAGTTTGGTTTCATGTAAGTTTTCTTCTTTTTATTTTTTGGTGTTAATTAATTTTTTTTCAAAGTTTTAAGTTTTCTCATAAATTAAGAGAACAAGCATGATAGTATTATCAAGATTGATTTTTTTTTTTTTGTCTTTTTGTTTAATTTCCTGTATCTTTTAGATGGCTTCCTATTTAAAAGCTAGATCAATGAATATTCTAAAGATTTCAAAACAAAGAATGATCAAGCTACTTTGAGCAAGGTGAATTGCAAATTTTAAAGAACAAACGTATTCAAGAAGGGTGAATTATAGATTCCAAAGACCCTGATCCCTATAGTAGTTTTGAAAGCATCCTAAAGAAACGAACGTCATATTTATGAAGTCAATGGAAATCTCCTCAAGATGGTGTGGAATGAAGAATCAAAGAACCTAGTTGTCCTCGAGCTTAGTATCAATCCTTACAACAACTTGTAACACTGAGGTTTATATTTCTATAGCAGTGGCCCTTGTGACGAGGAGGATTGAAAAAGAGGTAATTATTGAGTCTGTGACCAGCGTTTGCATGAAAGAAGCTTACAGAATTAGACTTTACCTTTGTGCAACCAATGTATATCCCTTTTTGATGGGGTGGCCCATGACCAGTCCTTGCAACATTTTCTCATTCTTGCAGTTGTGATGGGGTGGATTGAAGAATCGAAGAATCGAAGAACCCAAGAGTTTTCAAGCCATGATCAATTCTTGCAGCTTTGAAAATGGCTAAAGCACTTTGAAGTATCTTGAAAGCAGCCTACAACACTGACTTCATATTCTTGCATCCAATTGATACCCCTTCTTTGATGAGGTGGATTGCAGAATTAAATAAGTAGCAATTCTTGAGCGTGTGATTAGGGCCTACATTCCCTCTTTGATAGGGTGGACTGAAGAATTGAAGAATCGACACTTCTTAAGCCCATGACCACTTCATTTGCATGAGTTGATGACTTTTGTTCAACTTTAAGTGACTTCTATGTTAACCTTAAGTGACTTCTGTGACAGTCTTATGTGACTTCTATGTCAGCCTTATGTGATTTTTGTGTCAGCCTTATGTGACTTCTATGACAGCCTTAAAGTGACTTTTGTGGCAGCCTTGGACTTAACTCAAGAAGAAACATCTCATGTGCTCATTCTAGTGAGTGAGAGCATGAGAGCATCTTTCTTTAAAGGTAGGGTTTCGGAAAGTCAGTAAGCTTTTAGCAAGACTGTTGTCAACCATTCCATGACTTCTATGTCAGCCTTAAAGTAACTTCTGTGTNTTAAAGAACAAACGTATTCAAGAAGGGTGAATTATAGATTCCAAAGACCCTGATCCCTATAGTAGTTTTGAAAGCATCCTAAAGAAACGAACGTCATATTTATGAAGTCAATGGAAATCTCCTCAAGATGGTGTGGAATGAAGAATCAAAGAACCTAGTTGTCCTCGAGCTTAGTATCAATCCTTACAACAACTTGTAACACTGAGGTTTATATTTCTATAGCAGTGGCCCTTGTGACGAGGAGGATTGAAAAAGAGGTAATTATTGAGTCCGTGACCAGCGTTTGCATGAAAGAAGCTTACAGAATTAGACTTTACCTTTGTGCAACCAGTGTATATCCCTTTTTGATGGGGTGGCCCATGACCAGTCCTTGCAGCATTTTCTCATTCTTGCAGTTGTGATGGGGTGGATTGAAGAATCGAAGAACCCAAGAGTTTTCAAGCCATGATCAATTCTTGCAGCTTTGAAAATGGCTAAAGCACTTTGAAGTATCTTGAAAGCAGCCTACAACACTGACTTCATATTCTTGCATCCAATTGATACCCCTTCTTTGATGAGGTGGATTGCAGAATTAAATAAGTAGCAATTCTTGAGCGTATGATTAGGGCCTACATTCCCTCTTTGATAGGGTGGACTGAAGAATTGAAGAATCGACACTTCTTAAGCCCATGACCACTTCATTTGCATGAGTTGATGACTTTTGTTCAACTTTAAGTGACTTCTATGTTAACCTTAAGTGACTTCTGTGACAGTCTTATGTGACTTCTATGTCAGCCTTATGTGATTTTTGTGTCAGCCTTATGTGACTTCTATGACAGCCTTAAAGTGACTTTTGTGGCAGCCTTGGACTTAACTCAAGAAGAAACATCTCATGTGCTCATTCTAGTGAGTGAGAGCATGAGAGCATCTTTCTTTAAAGGTAGGGTTTCGGAAAGTCAGTAAGCTTTTAGCAAGACTGTTGTCA